AGTGTACATGCTGCAGACTTCATGTGCTAAGAATTCAGGATGGAGGAGGGGGTGGGAAAAAAAGAATTCAGGATGGAGAGCTCACTTTGGACTGATAGAGGCTGAGTAGACTTGCCACAGGAAGTAACGCCCCAAATGGTCTTGATTTCCTCCTTCAATCCCAGGGGCCTAACAAGTTGTCTCCTATGGACAAAAGGCCAAGAAACTGCCTTTCGGACTCTTTCCCATAGCCAATGGTTTGGCAGAATTTCTGCTCTTATCCTTATAAACAGATAGCTTTCCTTTGGCTGGTGAAGCAAAGAACAGACTTGGAAGCTTCTCATTCAGCTTGTAAGGTGGGGATCTTCTCTCCACTAAATGAGGAATCCGTGGAAGCAAGGTTTGAAGGGGCATTAATAGGAAAATGGGTAGGCTGCCGGAAACTTTAATTTTTTAACTGTAAGGAAGTTGGAAAGTCTGAGGTCCTTTAGCTAACTTCCCAGCACTTCCTAGAACACCAAGGGACTACATTTTTTACTCTACTGTGAACAATTTTCATACCTGTCTAACCTATGGTGTTCAATAAATGGATCAATAAAAGAATGTCTGAAAGAATGAAGAAAGTCAAGCCACACCCAAACATTAATCAGAAGCTTAGAGCATGGTGTCATCTCAGGAACTGGAATTTATGGGTGTTCATTCATTTGCACACTTGAAACTTATCGAGCTCCTACTATGTGCCAGACACTGAAACGCGTTTTATTTTCATGACTAATAGTGAAAATCTTTTTGAAACGTCAGTTTCTGATTTTTCACTTTAAAAAGTGCAATCAGGTGACTGTCCAGTATTGAACCTTGAAGAACATGGAAGATCTTTTTGACCTCATGGTTATGGTTCTGTCTAGCATCGTAGAAAAGAATAAAGTTACTGTAGCACGTAAGAAGGCAAACTCTGGAGTCAAGCTGCCTGAGTTTGAATTCAGGCTTTACCACTCATTAAATATGTAACACTGGATAAATTTTGCCTCAATTTCTCTATTTGTAAAACAGAGGATAATACCTACTCTATAGGGCTGTTGTGAAGGTTAAATAATCAAACTACTTTGGTGCGTAGGAAGCCCTCAAGGTGAATAGTAATTGCTTTTGTTATTATATAGAATGGCACCTAGAAAAAAATGTCAAAGTTTGGATTGAATACAGAGTGGGCAAAAGTAGGTTTACAGTTGTGAGTACATGAGACAGCTTATTCTTATATTATCATTTATTAATTATTGTATTATTTTTGTTATTGTTATTATTAACCTACTTTTCCCTGCCCCTGTATATTGACACTTGAGGTTCTGTTTCAATGCTATTTATAGTATGCATAATGGAAAGAACATAGCCTCTTTACTTATAGTTTAACTTCTTTGACTGTGTCCTTGCCTGAAAAAAAAGATAGCAATATTGACCGATAGGGCCCTTGGGAGGATCATATGTACGAACATGTCTGGAATTTAGTGGGCTCTCAAAAAATATTACTTTCTTTCTGACTAAGTAAATATGAGGAAGTAATTCCCTTTAATTAAAAGTGTTGATGAGTTTGGTTCTAGTTAATTGAACTGTAATATGTAAATCAATTTAATCGTGGACCTGCTGCGCTAGATAAACACCCAGCACCTGGTATGGTTTGGTTGAGCACCTTTATTTGTTTGGTTTTGAAACTCTTTCCCCTTATGCAGCTTCTTAACATTATGGATTTCTTAAGTCGGGCTCTAAGCAGTTTCCATTTCAGTTGAAAGAAGGATTTTCAAAAGATTTTAGCACATTTTAATTCTTAAACTTAATAGGATAGGTTTAAACTAATCCAAGTCAGTTGCAGACAATGGAACAGTGGGCTGGTACCTCCTCGCTCTTTGTTTATTTTTTAAATAAAAGGAGAAAAATGGGAAGTGCTCCAAACCGAGTCACAGACTGTGGTGAGGATTGAATGAGTAAACATCCTGGTCTTCAGAGAGGCAGATTCCAGGTGGGAACTAGAGAACCTTCAGCAGTTGCCCTCTACCATTTCTTTCCCTTTGTGGGATGTCTTCTCAGCACGCCGTGAGAGAAGAAAACAGACAGGCGTGTTCATTACGACGAAGTCATGTTGAAATACGGGTGGGAGAGAATTGTGTGACTTGAGAAAAGGGCGAGTGAAGAATGCACTGAAATAAGAATGAGTAATGGAGGCTAAAGGGAGATCGTGGAATTCTGTCCAATAAATTCATAGAATTATACTGGTTGGTTGTACCTTATTACCTTATTTTGATAATTATGATCACTTCATGGCCCTTATCTTTAAACAGTGATCTTAGTCATGACCTTGGGCTGGATCATTGTGGTGGTGGCCTGTCCTGCATATCCCGCAGGCTGTTCAGCAGTATCCCTGCCACCTACTCACTAGATGTCAGTATCAGCTACTCCCCCCTCCCCCCAGCCCCGCTGGCAATGATAATCCAAAATGCTTTGAAAAGATTTGATTCAACTGCTTTATGGGCCCTTGAGGCTCCAAAATCCTTCTTAGGCTGTGCTCATTGGAAGGTCACTCCTCCTGCTAACTTTGGATCTTTCCAGCGCTGACTGGCAGCCAAACAGAAACCTTAAAGTGGGCCAGGCAAATCCCCACTATGGCAGGCTGCAATGCTGAGATATTTTTTAAGGTAATGTGCATTTTGTCTCCAGTGGTCCTTGCTCTTCCTAAGTGAGTAGTATATGGAAATGTGACAACTCAATTCTGTTTGTGGAGCCTTTGTTTACATTCTGACAATAACCTAGGAGAAAGTCATGCTTAGTTGACTTATTACAATAAATCCTGTAGGCTATCCTCTTAAAAGAGCACCCCAAATTATTATTTTAATATAGGCATAACCACAAAAGGAGGTGGAGAATCCCGCAGTAGAGGGAGTTGAATTTCCAAGTGGCATTTTAGAAAAACTGAAGGCATTGCAAGATAAAAACATTTACTTTCCAGTTAAAGGCTTAATGTTATTAACTCAAATGTCACATTTATGCCATTATTGGCAGCTTGCATACAATTTAAATATTTTAGCCTTTATTATACAAGTGGATCTACATTACCTACCTTCAAGAGTCCCTTTCATAAGGGATGAGGAATGGGAACAATCAGCTACTTCATGCAAGGGCTGGCCGGCAGACTGGGTTGCCCGAACTGCAGTACAAACCACGACATGGAATGCTTTGGAGCCCCTTGGAACATGGCAGGGTCGGAACAGAGAGTGATTGGTGGTGGTGGTGGGGCGGGTGTTCAGGGCAGAGAGAGAACCAAGGCCTTTTCTCTTTTTGAAAAAGAGATACCCCATCTTTGTTCCAAGGGAGTATGAAATATCCATTAAGACTAGTGACACTGGGAATTTTGTTTCAGCTTGGCTCCTTTTGTTGTAACTCCAGGGCAGAGCAGAGGAATCTGGGGTGATGAGGTTTCAAGCCAAGATGTGAAAGAAAAAATTCCTTCCAAGGATTTCTTTTCTTGTCTCCTCAAGAATAAATATTTATAGAGAAAGCTCAAATGAAGGCTTTTACAATGGTCAAGGCTTTAGACTAAGCCTTTGAAAGGGTCCAAGTAAAACTATGCTTAAATGAAGGGTGATCCAATTAGGCTTTCCAGGGAAAACCAAAGAACCTCAAGATAATTTCCTATCTAAAATATAATTATGTTCTGAAGTGGAATAGGAATACCACTCTGAATTATCCCAGATCCATAGACTGCAGCAAAAACGTACAGCCAAATTGGATTCTACTTTAAGTAATTAAGTTATTTCCCTTCACAGGATCTATAATTTGTCTTCAACAAATGTGATTTGCCTCTGAAAGGTAAGACATTGCAATTTCCTGCAAAATGGATTTTCTGTGGCAGAAACAATTACAAAAAGTAGACCAAATATTCCTTAATTATATCCTGGTTATTCATCTTTGAGTGCATGCCTGGAGTGCCCTGTTTGTACTCCAAGTGAGATAGATATGGCCACTATAGTTTAGAAATTCTCTAATTTAAATGGGGATGGGAGCTGAAATTTACTCAAGGGCCTAGGACTTGCACAATGATAGTGCAAATAGCTATGGGTGATGTTACACAAGACTCCAAAATCTTGTGTAAAGTATGAGCAATGGGAAGCTTGCTTCAGTTAACCTTTTTTCTGAGCTCTGAAAGCATCAATGTTTTATCTGCTTGGTTGAACCCTTGAGGTGGTAGGTGTTGCAATAGATCAAATGCTGATATTTGCATGGAAGGTATTGTAGGAAGGGTATTTTTGGTGTGGTTAATTATATAAAGAAAACATTCACTTTTGGCTTATTTTCAATAACAGTTCAGTTGACTTATCACCAGGTGTTCTGGATGATAATAGTGGGTAATGGTTAAGAGCAAGGGCTGGAAGGATAAATGGAATTAGTTCTTGGTATGACCCCTTGAAAAGTGCAGTTATGGGAAGTCTCTGAACCTCAGGTTCCCGTGTCTGGGAAAAGGGAGTGATGTTCTCTGCAGAAAGGACTAGATGAGAGGAGTACACAGCAAGCGTTCAATGCCTGGCCTGGCCACAGACCTGGGCTACACTAGGAATAGCAGTAGTAAAATATAACATGGTATTGTATACCTTTCTTCTTAATGCACATTTATCCTTTAGAAAGATTATCTTTTGTAGGAATAGGTACTGGCCAGGTATCTCTAAAATTCTCTGCATTAAAAGTGCTTAAGATTTGAGATTTTGAAGTTATTTTACTCGATTTGGAATATTGGCTGTGCTACTTACCAAATGCCTTTGACTTACTTACTTACTCACCACGGCTCTGCATGCTTTGGTTTCCTGCTCCCTAATATGCAAGTAATAGCAGAACCAGAGCCGACTGTAGGAGTTGTGATGAGGGTTAAGTGAAATATTACAACTGCTCTACCCACGACAGGACCTGGCACACCATCATGTATCTTTTATTGTTATTTTTGACTTCTGCCAGCTAAAGGAATGTCAAGAGAAATCAAAACAATATAAGTTTTTCAGGTACTTTTATTAACAACTTAATACAAGACTGTACATTGTATGCGCTGAAACCCACTCCTGAAAAAAAAACCCCTGCATTTCTACACCACTTCAGCTTTTGGTTCTAGGTGCCATCTTCTATAGCAAAAATCACACAGTGTAACCAAACAGTTTAAGAACAGGAAAAGAAAATGTTCCACTGGAATGGAGAGATTATTTATACACAAACAGCTGAGGATCATTTCTAGCTTAAGTGATTCACTACACATCCTGGAATGCTCGGTGCTCTTTCCTACAGTCCTACCACCAGACACACACACAGCAACTAAGAACTTGGCCACAGTTCTTGCCTAGACACTCATCAACATGACACAAAAAAATATTTATATAAATAAGTCACAAACACTAAACACAAGGAAAAAAATCCAATAGTCAATAAAAACTGTACAGTACTGGTCAGTCTTTTATAGCTGAAAAAAGTGTAACTTAAAAATAAAGTCCTTTAATGTATAAAAAGTCTTTTATATCAGTGTTAGCTGGAGTGAAAACTTGAAGACTCGGACTCAGTTGAAACAGAAGAATGTCCACCCCGCTTTCCTTTGGAGAGGATCTTGAGGCTGGACCCTCTGCTCACAGAGGTGAGTGCATGCTGGGCAGAGGTTTTAAATTTGGCTCCGAGGAAGGCATAGAGGATGGGATTCAGGCAACAGTGGAAAAAGGCCAGGGCCTCGGTGACTGAAATCCACTTGTGCACAGTCTTCTCAAACTCACATCCTTGCTTGATGATCTCTAGGAGGATGAAGGAGTCGATGCTGAGCCCAATGTAGTAGGGGAGCCAGCAGGCAAAGAAAGTCAGGATGAGGATGACTGTGGTCTTGAGGGCCTTGCGCTTCTGGTAGCCCTTGGAGTGGGACAGCTTAGAGATAATAATGCAATAGCAGGACAGGATGACGATACCGGGCAGGATAAGGCCAACCATGATATGCTGGAAGTGGAACACCACCCTCCACAAGTCATTGGGGTAGAAGCGGTCACACTCATACCTGCCTTCCCCTGGCGCCACATTGGCAAAGATGAAATCAGGAATCGCCAACAGGAACGCAGGTATCCAGACGCCAACGTAGACCACCTTTTCAGCCAACAGCTTCCGTGGCTTGTGACTGTTGGTGGCGTGGACGATGGCCAGGTACCGGTCCAGACTGATGAAGGCCAGGATGAGGACACTGCTATAGAGGTTGACTGTGTAGATGACATGGACAGCCTTGCACAGAAATTTCCCAAAGTACCAGTCTGCCACAGCATCAACTGCCCAGAAGGGAAGTGTGAGGACAAAGAGCAGGTCTGCCACTGACAGGTGCAGTCTGTACTTGTCTGTCATGCTTCTCAGTTTCTTCTGGTAACCCATGACCAGGATGACCAATCCATTGCCCACTATGCCAGTCAAGAAGATGATGGAGTAGATAGTGGGCAGGAAGATCCTGTTGAAATGGGCACTTTCGTCCTGGAAGCAGGGTTCCTTCATGGAGTCATAGTCGCCTGAGCCCATGTCCTCCTCTGTGTAGTTTTCTGATGGGTATATCTGCAGAAGCAACAAGGGAACAGACATTCACTTTCAAGTTCAGCAGGCATTCCCAAGTTCAAAAAATATTTCTGCTCTTTTAAGAAAGCAATTTATATAAGACCCAACTCAGCTCAGCCTTATTCCGGAAATTCTGCTCCTATTGAAGTACTTATCTTTCCCCCCATGTCCTTTTATTGAAGGAAATAAAACTTGCGCTGCAACGGCAATGGTACCTCAAAGCATGATAAGGTAGCCAATGGGGCTGACTCGACAAGCCACAATGCTGGCCAGGGGTCCTACCAGAGTGAGAGAACCAAAAACCACAACGACAGAAGGTAGCAAACGTCCCATGCACCCAATGCAAGCGTTTCCACGATTGGCCATGCATTATCCTATAACCCTCCCTCCCAACCTTCCCCTGTAGTCGCTTTAGTAGAGCCAATTACAAAATTCGTGCCTTAGAAGAAAAGGGCGCGGAAATTGTGAAGGTTTGAAAGTCGCATTTTTGCTAACTCCTCTGCCACGCCCACTAGAGGTAAGAAAAAAAACCTTGGGAGGAAAAAACCCAAAACAAAACAGAGGCCACTCCTACGAAGCGGGGTGGTGGTGGAGGGGGTGCATCAGGGTTAGGTTCTGAGGAGCCATGGTTACCTTTCTGCTTGAAGATTTGCCAGGGCAGGGAGCTGGGGAGGAAGGAGCGTGGTGGAGGGGAGGAGTTCCCAAAGACTCTTATTCTAAAGCACAAAACTGTTTTTCCCACATTTGTCGGTTATCTAAACACAAACCATTCTGTCTGCTCTTAAAGCAACATGTACTAGTGAAGGAGAATGCAGCCTTAAAGCAAAGGGTGGGGATGTCAGAAGTGAGTATACCCCCTCTTGTGCCCCGGCTGGCGCTCCTCCGGGGCATGCCTCTTTAACCATACGCACATTTATCATTTGGCGCTTTGGGGTCGTTAAAGAACCCAGCATTTTCCTGGGAGGGGAAAGTCACGGGGTCTGCACCCGTGGTTCTAACCTCCAAGTTTCATTTCCTCACTCTCCCGGGGCGCTTTCCACTCCACCACTGATCCAGTTAATGAGGTCGGAGGTCTCCAGGTGGAGGGCGCGCCGGGGGCCGGGTGGTCTGCCCACCAGAGTCCCCCGGCTGCCCACCACCCTGCGTTCAACGCCTGCGGTCAGCGGGTCCCAGGGTTTCGCCCCGCCTTGCGCCAGGCTCAGTGCGACAGGGTGCAAGGGAGAGATTGGGCGGCTCCTCGGCTAGCGCCTTTGAATCGCGCGCCGTTGGGGGAAACGAAAAGGCTTCCAAGTAAGGGGTTTTTCAAAAGCCTCCAGGAAACCACCGACGGTTAAACGGCGCAATCGGGCTCCGTGAGAGCCAAACGGTCTTCCCACTTGCACCTGCCCGTCTGCACCCTGGCTACCGGCAGCCCAGGTGTCCTCCTAGACCCTCGCTCCACCCTCCCGTCGCCGCCGCGCAGACCTCGGGGTGGAGTTCTGCAGCACAGGGACTCTTACAGTTCTTCGACCTCTGCACTATCCCAAATTTCCAAACCGCAGGACCCGCTACAGGCGCTTCCGACGCCCTCGAGGTCTCTCCTTCAATCCCAAGGTGTACGACTGCTGCCCGCCATCACCCAACTGCGGCCAATACTCAGACCACCGAGGCAAGCCGTACGGTGGGTCCGCCCGCCTTTCTCTCCCTTCGCTCACTGTGTACCAACACCAACGCAGATCTCCCGGCCACTCAGTTCAGCAAACACGCACCCAACGGCAAGAGTGGTTCCCAGGTGCTTTTGCCAGGGAACCATCCCGGGCGCCGCTCCCGCTGGGAATTCAGTCCAGCGGCACCGCACTCCACCTCTAAATGCAGGTCTCACGTAATTTGCACCGAACTAACCCCGCTCCCCCGAGGAAGAGATCCATGTGGTCGGAGTCCTGGTCTAGCACGCACGCCTTCTTGCACTTGTGCACAGAGCATTATATTTGCAAACAGCGTGCAAGCCTGGCGCACGCCTCCGGGCTCCAGGGTCAGACACATGGAGCAACCACAACAGTTGTTCCAAACTTTTCTCCTTTGTATACAGAGAAAATTACTCCAATCCTGCCCAATACCCACAAGGAGGCAAGCGGACGAAAACTCCTTTGCATGCCCCTTCTCCCAGACACCAACACCTCCAATGTGCGGGATGCTTCTGCCCGCTCCGAGAAGGGATGCGCTCCAAGTTCATGTGTTTGTACATTTAAGAAAAAGCAGGTTTAAATTTGACTTACATGGAACCCGTCCATGGTAACCGTTTGCTCTCCAGCCATCCTGGCTACCGGAGCACCCAACTTCTCGGGACCACTTCGCTACCTGTCGCCGCAACCAACGGACTGAAGTTTCTGGCCGAAGCTGGACTTATATAAAGACGCTCACCACGGGCGGCGCACTCTCCGCGGGCGGCGCATGCGCCGCGCGGGTGGGCGGGAGCGCCGGGCGGTGAGGAGGAGGGAGGGGTAGGGGTGGGGAGGGAGGGGTAGCTAAGCCAGGAGTGGCTCGGGTGGGCCAGGGGTACAAGTCCGGGCGGCCCGGTGGGGGTAAGCTTTGGAAACCCCTGACCCGCTGCTGTTTACTGGCTGTCACTGTGTGAGTCCAGTTGCGAAGGGCACCCCAGAGGCATCGCCAACTTGGGAAAGCGAGATGGGCCCGGAGGGAGGTGGGAAGCGCGGGCGCCCTACACGTCCCTGAGTGGCTCCTCCAATTTTGCTCGCGTGGATGGACTTCCAGTCCCGGGGATGCTACACATGGAGACACTGAGGCCCAGAGAGAAGTGACTTGCCAGAGTTGCCCAACCAGTAGGCGGCAATGCTGCTAGAGGGTCCAGCGTCTGACTCCATTCCCTCCACTTACGGCGGCTGCAGACCATTCAGAAAAGGAGTGTGGATCCCTTTTTCAGAGCACAGCTGTGTATAGCTGTACATCTACACTCACAACAACAGTACCAGGGTCCGATTTAGACAGTCAGGAAACACTTTCAGGAGAAAGGATGATTTGGCGTACTTTTGGAGGAAGCCTGCGATCTGTATGTCAGGAGTAGTTTTTGTAAGAGATCACAAGGCCCCCACGCGGAGGAAACGTGCAGCGGTCTCTCAGAGGTGAAATGCCGGAGCAGGACCGGAATTCTCAGCTGGGCTGGAACTCGGACCTTCGGACTCCGCGTTCGACTTCTTCCACGGCTCTATGCACAGGCCAAGCGTTGGCACAATGAAGAAATTGAATGGAAGAGCTGCGTGGGGTGGAGTGGGGGTCCGGGCTGGCCGTTTAAAGGAGTCCCGGACGGGCCGGGGGGCTGCAATGCGTGCCCAGACGGTCCTTCCTAGCCTCTCGCCACTTCCCGCCCGCGCGGAGACTGGGTGGGGCCGGACAGGGAGCGAGGGGCGGGGCGCAGGAGTCGCGCGGCGGCGCTGCCGGGAGCGCGGAGTCGGGCGCCGCCGGCGGTGCCGGCGGTGCGGGCGGCGGCCTGGGAGCAGCGGTTCTTCTCCGTGCAGAGCCCAGAGCCCTCACTCCGGGACGGCCCCCAAGAAGAGGGGACTGGGTTCTAAACGCTGCTACCCGCCTCACCTTTTTCTTCCACAAGAAACTTTTTAAGTTTTTCCCGGGAGGTGGTCCCCCGGGAACCTGTTCTCTACAGAACACCCCTCCCCCTTTTGTCTGGGTCCCCTCTGCAGTGTCTGTCGGCGAAGGTCCTCCACTCACCGCCCACAGGGTTGGGGTCGGGAGGCGCGACTCTGGAAGCTGCCAATTTAAGACTACAATGACATCAAAATCAATCGTAGTAAATACTACATTATGTAGAGTTTTGTAAAGCGTTGACAAAGCACTTTTATTTAGTCATTAATAAAAAGTCAGTGTTTTCATATTTTCATAAACCAGGTAGGACGACCATTTTATTCGTTGAAGGGCCGGAATTTCAGACAGGTTCCATGACTTGCTTTTCACGAGGCTTGGTAGCGGCAGAATCAGAGTTTTGACCCAGTAAGTATGGGGGCTGCATTGTACCTCAAACTCTTCACAGTGGCTGAAATCTAAAAGGCCGAATCTCCCAAGCCCGCTTGAAAGGGTCTCCAGGGTAAATGATTTGCATAATAAGTATTTTATTGTTTGTAGACAAAAGAAACCTCCTTCCTTTATCAGGAGGAAGCGGCACCTTTTAAAAGGTGCTGCACCTTTTAAAAGGAAGCAGATGATTAAGAGAACAATGAAATGCTATTTGGTGAGTATCAAGTTAGGTTAAAAAAATTTCAAAGAGATTTGATAAGACCAGCCATCTCTCCCAGTGGCTGGTGGGGATGTGGATTCAGCCCTGGAAAGCACCCTATGGTATTCAGCAGGAACCTTAGACCAGTAATTCCACCTATAGACACTTATCCAGAGGATGTTGAATTTATGCCACAAAGGTATTCATGAAAACGTTATTTATAATCGTGAAATGCCTGAACAACCCTAAAGTCCACGGTCAGTGGAATAGCTGAGAAGATTTTGGTACATCTGTATGTGGAATTCCATGTGGCCATTGCAAATGATGTTTGTTAAGAACTTTAAATGACACGGGGAAATGTTTGTGAAACAGTTGCAAAAAGCAGAATTCAAAACTGTGCGAATAGTGTAATCTGTTGTGTTAAAATGTGTCGGGAAAAGATTGGAAGGAAAACCAAAATGTCTATAGGAGTTTTCATTGGGTGCAAAATTATATTTGGATTTTACTTTCTTCCTTGCACTTTCTGTGCTTTCCAAATTTTCTATAGTAGACATGAAATATTTTCATGTTCAGTAAAAGTCAATAAATAAATAAGTTATAAAGAACATAGAATGCCTCCCTTTTCCTACCTTTCTACTTCCTAAAGTATGCACTAGATAATGATGGCATTTTCCATGGTAGTCCTCTCTTCCTCTTCCCAAGGAATGGTCTTCCTTTATGTTCCACTGGACCAATCCCACCTAACCATTCTCAAATACGCAATGATGTTGCTGAAAACAAAACAAAAAAAATTTATCGAGTGTTTGTAGCCGACATCATCCTGAATAACTCTGCGAGGCGCGTACCACCTCTGCACGGTGGGCAGGGAAACTGACGTCCAGAGAGAGCGAGTGGCCTGGCTGTGACCACACAGTGAGGATCTGCACCTGGCCTGTCTTTCTTCTCTGACCATTGCGATTCGCCCTCTGAAAGGTCATTTGATTCTACTTGCATGCTACTGGGAGTGGCATCTCTGGTGACGATATTCATTTAAAAAAAATGAATGCATGCCTTTTCTCCTCTTCTTCAAACAGCCTAGGTTCCTTAAAGTGAATGCTCAGATTTCCAGTGTGCAGCTAGCCCACTGATGAATAAATAATGGGCTTTCTAATCCTTTACTGAACATTTATGTAATGAATTAATGGCTTTCCTGTGTGGCTTTGGCAACAGAGTTAGGATTAGAGGCTGTCAAGGCTTTGGCAGTGTCCCCAATTCTCACACTGGCTTTAGCCCAGGGAATAACTAGCCTTGGCCATAGTTTGGAGGGGATGGTTACAAACCCAGTGACACAGTGGCAAGCAATCTGCCACCTCCTGTTGCTCGCTCTGCAGCTGGTTGATTTGTGTGTGTGAATGTGTGTGCATCTGTGTGTGCGTGACAGAGAGTTGTACTCTGTCCCCAGATAGGCTCAAAGCCAGTCCAGGAGAATGCTTAGGGACAGACTTCCTCCCGATGGTAGATGGCAGATGGCAGGTGGCAGTGACATTAAAGGCCTTCTGAATGTACCAAGTCCCTCTGTCCCCTCTCCTCTCTCTTAAAAGAAAAATATCTATTTTTGTCTCTGAAAGAAGGGAAAAAAACCTTCCTTAATGTCAGTAAGAAACTCTCAAAGGGACAAAGTTAATATATTCCCATGTGATAAAAAAGGAGGCCATTTCCCCAGGGGCATGTAATTGTAGCAAAGAGCTACAAATCTCTAAGAGACAATGCTATCAAGTGTCAACTATTTCTTTTTCTTTTTTAAGATTTTATTTATTTTAGATAGATGGGAAGGGAGGGAGAAAGAGAAGAGGAGAAACATCAATGTGCAAGAGATACACTGATTGGCTGCGTCTGGCACACCCCCAGCTGGGGGCCTGGCTAGGTACCCAGGCTTGTGCTCTGACAGGGAATTGAACCTGTGATGCTTTTGTTCACAAGCCAGTGCTCAATCCGCTGAGCCACACCAGCCAGGCCAAATGTCAACTATTTCCAAGCTGGCGTTACGTGGGAGGGATGGTGCTCCACCCCACTGTACCCACCTCTACTCCTCCTTCCTCAGCTCCTTCTGTCTCCAACAACAACAAGTGAAAATGACTGGGAAATAAACTGAAACCTTCCATTTTGCAACTATATACCAATTTTGGAAAATCATTATTGTTTTTCTGGGTATGTAAATCTGCCATATCTTGAATTTCTGAAATATCTGACTTTATTAAAATGAGATTATTTGTGATAAGTGTAGTAGTCAACAAAATTTCCTATACAGAGAGAAAAACTAATTGGTAAACATATACAACCAATTTAGAGTCACCCCGGTAAGTCAATTTTAAGAAAGCAGCCACTTAATTAACAATGCAGTTACCATCACTTGACTAATTCCACTGCCCAAAGGATGTATTTCCCTCAGTTCGGTGTGCTCGGGTGGTAGGTGTGGTGTGGCTCTGCAGATCTGATGAACAATAATAACAGACTCACTGCTGTTGCTTCAGAAATTATGGTGTCAAGCTGGGGAAAAGGGCATGACTTTAGGAAATAATTGAGTGAGAAAACTGTTCTCCATGGAAGAGGCTTGTCATTGTTTTCCTTAAACTAGTGATTTATTGGCAGTGACCTCAAGCAGCTAGCTATATAACAAGAGGAAGTGCCCAAAGCCAGGTGGACAGTCTGCTTTATAAAGAGAACTATGCATCCCTGGCAGAGTCTGAGTGCTTTCAGGAATGTGGTGATCTGAGATTTTGCTGACATCATTCTACCAAGAGTTTTACGTTCGCAGAAGGACAGGGTGGCAATTGTGTGTGTGTGTGTGTAGGTAGAGGGACCCATGAAAGTAGTGTTCTATCACGAGCAATTGCTAAATCCAAACCCACAATTTTGCCCTTTGAGCTACTTGTAGATCTAAGACACAAATGATAAACTAAAAATCTGAAGATATTGTAAATGAATGAGGCAATAGGGAGTGGTGGGGGCTGTGGAGAACCAGAGGGTGCATGCCCTGTCTCTTAAAAGAAAAATATCTATTTTTCTTTCTGAAAGAAGGGTGGGACCTTCCATATGGCAATAGGGAATAATGAAAGGAACAAAGTTAATATATTACCAAGTAATAAAAAAAGGAAGCTATTTTTCAAGGGGCA